GAAGCAGTTCACAGGTCCCTCTGTGAGATTGAGGAAATGGCCTATATTATCCAAAACATTCCAGACTCCCCTATAAAAGAACGAGTCTGAAATTCTTTGGAGGGGGTATCTGTAGGCGTCAAAAATTACCTATAGGTCCCGAATATGGCTCGAAACAGAGAGAAGACGACGAACGTTGATATCTGAGTCTAAGAGGATTATCTGACGCCGACGCGCGCATGAAACGAAGTGGTCTGCGCACTCGTCAAATCAGCTCGCACGCGTCGGTCAACACGCGCGTGTTAATCAGTTCGTGCGCGTTGGTTAACACGTGCACGTCAATCAACTCATGCGCATCGATCAACACGCGCACATCAATCAGTTCGTGCGTATCGATCAACACGCGCACGTCAACCAACGCGTATCGATCAACACGCACACATCAATCAGTTCGTGCGCATAGATCAACACGCGCACGTCAACCAACGCGCGTCGATCAACTCGCGCGCATCAATCAGTTCATGCGCATCGATCAACACGCGCACGTCAACCAACGCGCGTTCGACGGTCAGTCCCGCAACGAAACATTCAAGTTAACAAGACGATCAATTACGTAAAACAGTGGAGAATACAAGTCCCGAAAAACCGGAAAACACCAAAAGACTCGGTAAAAACGTCAAAACCCCGCGTCCGCGCGGGTCGGACCGAGCCGAGTCGGACCGAGCCGAACCCCGCCGCCCCCTGCGCACCGCAAGCATGACACAAGCACTCAACAGTCAAGCGGAAAACACACATGTGTAATTCACGTAACAGATTTGACTCGAAAATACGTTTTTGACGATTTCGATGGGTTTTCACGAGATCTTTTCAGTTCCTGAGGTTCCTAACTACCTAAATCCTATCTCTAAACATGGTTAATTAGTTATTAACTGAAGATAAGGAGGAATCATTCATTCTTATCTAAAAAACCCCCAACCGAAGCCTATAAATACAAGCGTAGGGCCTCCTTTTAGGGGGATTAATTATCAAGAGGAGGAGGTGCTGCCGGATTGAGGAGTCAAAGGAGCACGAATTTTAGCTAAGGTTGACAGATCTTGGCCAGTTCTTCGGCATAAAGGAGTTCGAGAGATCCGACGCCCGTTTCCCCTATTTCCTTGAGATCAGGCTTGGTCTTGATCTCGAGAAGAGCTACTGATTTCGCTTGGTCGATCTCAGTGCTTCAAATCAAATACTTCCTCGGCGAAAACGGAGCTCTGCCGAATTTTCAACAACCGGATTTGATCGACGGTCGTCCATGGATAAACCCCGGCACAGGCAAAGATCTCATGCAAAGCAGCGGGTGATAAATGTCCTCTTCGTTTTGTTTGAACGAGAATTGTATCTTTTATTTTTATTGTGTAAAGATCTTATAAAAAGACCGATCTTTTTGAACTTATTATAACGATCGAAGTTGTAATGAGTTATACAATGAAGAAAACGATTTTCGACGCAAACACTCGTCCCATGAGATTAGGAGACTGAAGATCGTTCCAGGCACACCTCAGCACAACGGAGTGACGGAGCATATGAATCGCACTATCTTGGAGCGCGCTAGAAGTATGAGGATCCACTTCAGATTGCTCAATAGTTTTTGGGCCGAAGCTGTCAATATTGTTGCATACTTGATCAACCACGAGCCATACGCGGCTTTTAGTTATGGGATACCTGAAGAAGCTTGGACCAAAAAGAAGCTGAAGCTAGAACGCTTACGAGTATTTGGTTGTGACGCCTATGTCATGACTAATCATGCAGACCGATCAAAGCTTGATCCAAAGTCAAAGAAGCTCTCTTTCATCGGTTATGAAGGAGATGAGTATGAGTACCGTTTTTGAGATCACGATGTGTGCAAGGTGGTGCGTAGTCATGACGTCGTGTTCCATAAGAATGCGGTGTACAAGACCAAAGTGGTGAGTGGGAGTCATCTATCTCCCCCTCTTTCCCCAGATATTGCTAGCAGTGAGGACGACGATGAGATACCAATTAGCATAGAAGATGGAGACTAAGAGAACGTGTCAGAGGCACAACAACAGGATCCAGCAGAGTTGTCGATCCCATTTCGCAAAGCTCCAAGAAATCCGAGGGTGCCAGAGAGATATCTTTCCACCATGAATTATCTTCTCCTAACTGACAGTGGTGAGCCAGAGAGCTATAAGAAGGTACAATAGACTGGAAAAGCTCGGGGCGAGTGGAAGTCTACCATGGAGGAAGAAATGAAATCCTTGATGAAGAATAAGACTTGGGAGCTCGTAAAGCTTCCAAGATGACGAAAGGCTCTTCACAATTGGTGGATTTATCGGGTCAAGGATGAAGCCGATGGACGGAGACGCTACAAGGCAAGACTTGTAGTGAAGGGCTATGAGCAAAAAATAAGGATAGACTATTCTGATGTTTTTTCTCCTGTCGTTAAGTTGACCACGATCTGGACTATGCTGAGCATTGTGGTAGTTCAATATCTTCATCTAAAGCAGATGAATGTGAAGACAACATTCTTTTATGGTGATTTAGAGAAAGAAATCTATATGCATCAACCAATGGCCTTCGAGGAACGAGATAGGGAGGGCCTCGTATGTCGCCTACGTAAGAGCTTGTATGGTCTGAAGCAAGCTCCACTATAGTGGTACATGAAGTTTGAGAACTTTATGGAGGAGAACGGTTTTCTCAAATGCGACACAGACCACTACTGCTTCATCAAGAGATATAGGGATTCCTATGTGATACTCTTGATTTATGTTGATGACATGTTAATTGCTGAGCTTGACTTGGCCCGCATTGAGAAACACAAGGGATGTCTCTTCGAGTGCTTCGAGATGAAGGATCTGGGTCTAACAAACTAGATTCTTAGGATGAGGATCATCAGAGAGATCAGCAAAGAGGTTGAGGTTGTCTCAGAAGACCTACATTGAGAAGATTCTTGAAAATTTTAGCATGGAGAAAGCTAAATCGATGGTCTCGCCGTTTGCGAACTATTTCAAGCTATCAAAAACCTAAGCACCAGAGACTGCTGAAGTGCATGAGTTCATGGCTAACATACCATATGCATCTGCCGTCGGGAGTTTGATGTATGCGATGGTGTGCACGAGGCTAGATATTGCATAAGGAGTGGGAGTTATGAGCCGCTTCATGAGCAATCCGGAGAAGAAACATTGGGGTGCGGTCAAGTGGCTTCTACTCTACTTGAGATGCTCGTCCGACCATTGTCTTGAGTATGGTAGGGCGGATTTATAGCTAGAAGGCTTTTGTGATGCAGACTACGCCGGGGACATAGACTCAAGAAGGAGCACGATCGGCTACATCTTCATCTTGGGTGGTGGAGCGATAAGTTGGAGATCCAAGTTACAAGATACTGTGGCTTTGTCAACAACCGAAGCGGAGTACGTGTCTGCAGCAGAAGCAACAAAGGAGTTGTTATGGTTGAAAGCTTTTCTTCTTGAGCTTGAGGTAAGCATTGAGAAACATTTCATCCATTGTGACAATCAAAGTGTCATTCACTTGTAAGAAAACGACGCATTCCATGCTCGGATCAAGCATGTTGACGTAAAGCATCATGCCATATGGAGATGGCAAAGCAGGAACGAGTTCAAGCTTGTGAAGATTGATACGAGGTACAATCCAGCCGATATGCTGACCAAGCCAGTTCCGCTCGAGAAGGTGAGGCTGTATGCAGCCTCATATGGTCTTCATTGAGAACGTTGAGGACTGTGCAAGACGCCAAAGGTACAAGACATCTGGATGATGCAACCAAGAATGATGTGAAGATATGATTAATACTCAATCAAATCTTCAAGTGAGAGATTGTTAGCCAGCAGCCTCTAGCAGCCATTGTTGAATTTTAATTAAGTGACGGGACCCACGTATTTAATATTCCACCGAAAATTGCTACAATGTTTGAAAAATAAAAAGGTAGCGGATCCTACTAATAAAATATTATTAGTAGCGGGTCCCATCAATAATATTTTATTTGTGCATAGTATTTCTCAAACACTATGCCAAAACTCTTCAGAAAAAATCATCCCAGAAACAACTCCTTTTATAGAAGAGTAAGAGAAAAAACATAGAGAGAGTTTGTGAAAAATCTTGGAAAGTATCTTGATCAAGAGAGGGTGTTCTCTTTGATTCTTTTCTTTTGGAGTATAAAGAAATTGGGCGTCGTCGTTGCACCGTGGAGTAGCTCCGTAAGAGTGAACCACGTTATATCTGTTCGTCGTTGCACCGTGGAGTAGCTCCGTAAGAGTGAACCACGTTATATCTGTGAGTACTGTGATTGAATTTGTGTCTGCTACCGTGGAGTAGCTCCGTAAGAGTGAACCACGTTATATCTGTGAGTACTGTGATTGAATTTGTGTCTGCTTGGGTGTGTTTTTGCGTCTCCGTTTGAGGCATTCTTGTTGGTGTGTATTCCAGCAATATTTACCAAAATTTCACCTAAGCTAAAATAGTACAAAATATTTAACCTAGAGAGGTCTATCTGCTAAAATGAATCTACATGAGTAATAATTGCAAAACAATGATACGAGGTCTATGTGCAATTAACCTTATTTATAATAATGACAGCTTACCTCTCCTTAGAAAACCCCACTTCAAGAAAAAAGTGTCTACAAAAGAATTCACTAGAAATAAACCCACTTGCTTCAAATAAATTGAACCTGAAACTTGTGTCTTAATAAGGGCCTCTGTGACATGGTAGACAAATTACACTTGCATTATCAAAATAATCTTCTTCTCGACTACCTTCTCTGGAATTATATGACAATCTTAGAAAAAGATAAATAATTACAAAGCCTACCAAGAAAGTTGTTTTATCCAGACAAAGCCTACCAAGAAAGTTGTTTTATCCAGACCATCTCAAGAGTAATAGTTGGCATAGCATGATATGCTTAGTTGAACATAATACTGGGAGCAAGTTGATGTATATAATGAGATGACATCAGATTTCAACAGATAGGCTTAATGATACAGAGCTTCAAGTCTTCAACCATAAGTACCTGAATATAATCTACTGCAGGGATCAGTCGAGCAAGACGAAGATCCACTGGCCACTGATCTTGAGCTTCATAATCATCATCATATCCTAATCTCTGCCACTTGTCAAAGTGGGCTAGCATGTCAACATTCATCGTGAACTTAAGAACTTCCTGAACCGATTTAACTGTATAGTTCAGCTTGAAAGGGACAACATTAACATCCTTGGAAGAAAGAAGGTGAACAACCTGAGAATAAGGTGAGAGTATTACCTCTACTAGAAATAAGTGTTTTCCCCCCATATACCGCCAATCAGGCCCCAAATCCTTATATCTACCAAAACGCCGCACAAATTTTCAACACTGGGCTAAGGCACCAAAGGAATATTCTCAAAATTCCTAAGTATTTGTTACATTTTTTGTTTTTTGTTTTTTTTTGTTTTTCTTGGGATACTAACTCAATGTTGAATATGTGGCGGCATTTTAATAAATATCAAGATTTGGGGGATAATTTTGTAAATATGCCCTACAAAGAAATGAATTGTATGAAGATATTGGGGGCATACTCACGTCCATTTCAGCGTCTTCAAGATATCCAACAGTGAGTTTTGTTATGTCAACCGAGAATGGATCCTTAAGATGTACGTGTCGAGATGAGAGGTCGTCTGGGTCTTTTCCCTGAATAGCATCTATTATAACTCCACAGTCTTCTGCACTTCTGCAGAAAGGGCCAAGCTTATCCTGTTAAGTAGAATTTTTATTTCAGCTCCAGTGTTTTCGATCTGTTTGTATTTTTAATATAATCATATAGTAAGAATATAGTTACCAAGCTCTCAGAGAGGCTCATTACACCGGTTCGTCCAACGGTACCAAAAGTGGGACGTAGGCAAGTTGTCCCGCATCGAGCAGCAGGGAGAATCATGGACCCAATAGTTTCAGAGCCAATGGCAAAAGGAACCAAACCTACAAAGAAAACTTAACATTAATCAGAGGTATAATAAGGTAAACTATGATTGGAATCCAGGACATTAATATCCTTAAATACATAGCAGTTAGATGTGTTCGTCTTGAAATGAAATTTATGACAAAGTTTTTCTTCTTATGAAGCTATTCAGATGTAAATTAACAAATTGATGAATTCCTTTAGTCATTGATGCTACTACTACACAAAAACTCTGGAAAAAGATGACAGGAAAACAACTTTCGAATTTCAAGTGAGGCTACAATTGTATAGTCCAAGATACCTCCATAGGTTAAGCGTCTTTTCATGGGCTGAAACCTACACGCACGGAGCAATATCTTTATTTAAATCAACTTTAGTATTTTGTGCCAATAAGATTTGAACCTGATTGGTCCCATGCCATGTCAAAGCTGATGGTTGAGGGTTATAATTTTATACTCTTAACATCTTATCACATAACTACGGATGCTTAGACACATAAAAAGAAGATGAAATGGAAATGAATGAGAACCAAAAGCGAAGTCGAGCTACATTGATTTTCCTAATAAAAGTTGTTTAGATGTAATAAACATTAAAACTTGACATCCAGGTTAGTGGTTTCGATTTCAGAACGAGAACATAAATTCAAGAAGGTAGTGATTACATATTCAAGAGCGTGAAAAAGTAATGGAAATATAATCTTGGAGAAAAATGTTAATGAATTAGAATGAGCGAAACCAACAATGTTATGAAATAAATCATCCGACACTCAGCATGACTAGTTGAGTTTTGGTTCACCCATTTTGGTAGGAAAGTTTTAACTGTGGTTTTCTTCTCCACTTCTCGTATCAATCTATCCACATGCACAAATCATTCCTGTTGCGCGCAGCGGAAATTTCGGTAGCACTTCGACAGCACAACAAGAGAGTCAGGTTACAATAGGAAAATCTGTTTCACCAAAAAAAACAAGAACTTTAAGCAAAATATCTCAACCAAGTGAGATATCAACTCTTCCTCTCATCAGTTCTAGGACTGACCTGTCGAGGGAACCTAAAACCTACTACAAATCACGCAAATAGCGATACAACCAATTTACGTGGTTCGGCAAATTACCTACGTCCACGGGGCAAGGAGGGGGGAGATCTACTATTAGAGGGAGAGATTACAACTAGGGTTTACAATCACTCACAACCTAAACCCTCAAACAAATTCTCAAATCCCTCACAATATCTCTCTACAAAATGATGCTCAAAACCCTAAAAAAAGCTGCTCAAAATCACCTATTTCTTCAAAAGGACGGCTGCGTTTTTCTCCCGCAAAGGCTTCTGCATTTTCACCCCCAAAAAACCAAATTCACGAAACCCTAGAATCTTCTATTTATAGCTTCGGCCGAAAAACGCGTTAACACAACGCGTTTACACAAGTGGCCCCCACGAATGAGCACGAGACGCATCTCGTGCTCGTGGGTAACAGAACGTGGGGTGTGGTCCCCACACCCCACGTGTTCACAATTTTTCACCTCGGTGAAGTTTTCCCAAAACTGAGCCAAATACATCCAAATGTCCCAGTACGAAGTGGAACAAAACCACAACAACAGACTCAATCAACAACAAGTCGGGAACTCGAACGAGAGTCCAAACAATCTCACCCCCATCAAAGTCAACTAATCCAAACTGGCTGCATCTGAAATACTGCCTACGTATCCTCTTGCCCAAGGAATCAAGCCGAACGTAGTTCACCCAAATGGCCGCCAACGACCTCAACAATCATGAATGTGCAACAAGTTTCTACAATGATCAAACTTGTTGCTCGGAACCACCTTTGTGAGCATATCCGTCGGATTATCCTTCGTGTGGACCTTCACAATCTCCATATCGTCATCTTCAAGAACATCCCGAATGAAGTGATATCGAACATCAATGTGCTTCGTCTTCGCATAAAAAACCTGATTCTTCGCCAAATAGATAGCACTCATGCTATCACAATGAATAGTAACGGATCGCTGAGATATACCAAGTTCCTCCAAAAGTCATTGAAGCCAAATAGCCTCCTTCACAGCCTCCGTAACCGTCATATACTCTGCCTCCATTGTAAACAAAGCTACGACTGTAAGGTGCATCTCTAACATACCGGTGCACGGGTCAAAGTAAACACATACCTTATCGTAGACCGGCGCTTATCTAAATCCCCGACATAATCCAAATCAACATAGCCAATGCACAACTGTCCACCTGTAGTGTCCCGCTCATAAACCAAACCAACATTGAGCGTACCTCGAATGTACCTCAAAATCCATCTCACGACGTCCCAATGACCCACTCCTGGATCATGCATGTATCTCGAAATCATGCTCACCGCCTGTGATAAATCTGGTCTCGTACATACCATCGCGTACATCAAGCTCCCAACCGCACTCGCATATGGAGTCTTCGACATCAACTCTCGATCTTCAACTGACTTCGGTGAAAGATCAGCTGAAAGCTTCAAATTGGCTCCCAATGTTACACTAACTGGCTTCGTATCCATGCTAACATGAAATCGCTGTAGTACTTTCTTCAAATAAACCACCTGTGTCAAACAAATTTTGCCCTTCTTCTTGTCTCTTCCTTCCCAAAATGCGTTTGACCTCACCCAAGTCCTTCATCTCAAACTCATTTAAAAGCTGTGTCTTCAACTCATCTATAGCAGATCTAGAAATAGAGGCAACCAATATGTCATCGACATAAAGTAACAAATAGATGTACGCACCTCCTTTCAACTTACGAAAATATACGCAATGATCAAACTGGCTCCAAGTGTACGAATGACCAATCATAAAACCATCGAATCGCCTATACCACTGTCGAGGAGACTGCTTCAAACCGTATAGCGATTTCTTCAACCTGCAAACCAACTTATCTTTCCCTGCAGCTCGGAATCCCAATGGCTGAGTCATATATATATTTTTTCATCGATCACCATGAAGAAATGCCGTTTTCACATCCAACTGATCTAATTCCAAACCATACTGTGCCACCAAAGCTAGCAAAATCCGAATCGAAGAATGCTTCACCACCGGAGAGAAAACCTCATTATAGTCAATACCTTCCTCCTGTGCATAGCCATTCGCAACCAACCTAGCCAATACATTCCTCATGTGTATAGCCCTTCGCAACCAACCTAGTTTTGAACCTCAATGGAGTGCCCTCAATGCCCTCTTTCTTCGTGTATACCCACTTGCAACCAATTGCCTTCCGCCCCTTCGGAAGCTCAACAAGCTCACATGTATCGTTCTTATGAAGAGATTCCATCTCCTCCTGCATAGCCACCTGCCACGAATCAGCCTCCGAAATCTGCTCGGCCTCTCTGAATGTAGTAGGCACCAACTCATCGATACTCTTCACTGGAAGTGCATACGCAACTGTGTCGGCATACAGTGCTGGCATCTGTATGTTTCTCCTCTGTCTCCGAACCGCAATCGAATCCTGAACCTGAGTCGTCGATCCCTGATCCTGCATATTTGTACTCGTATCCTCCGTGTCA